CGTGGACTCGTGAGAGTGGGTTTCCGTGAGGAAAATCGCTTTCGAGGCCAGCCCCAACATACATCAATCAACGGCGTGGACGTGTTTGCAGCCTAAGTATTTTCGGGAACCGGTGCTGGTTGAAGGGAGAGTTGGCAACACCCGCATCAAAATATTCGTTGATGGCGGGGCGAGCCACAGTTTGATGGACATAACGAATGCGAAAAAATTGCGATTGCAGCTGGAGCGCTGCATGCCTGAAATCGACGCGAGATTGGTTGACGGCACACCCCTTGCAATTCGGGAGAGGGTACCTCACGTGCGAGTGACATTCGGCGAAAATTTCAGTTTCACGACGAAGATGCTGGCGACAAATTTGGATGGCTGCGACATGCTGCTGGGATACGATTGGCTGCGCGAATACAACCCGAGCATCAACTGGCGGACGGGTGATTGTCGCATAAAATGGAGTGGCGAGTGGCAAAGACTACCCAAATGGAGCTGTCAAGATTCGACCACATCGACGGCCAGCGTAGTGATGATCAAGCGAGCAATGATTCGAGAGGCGCAACTGTACGCCGTACGATGGCTCGCCTCAATGGCTGTCGACACGCCAACCGACATCGACAAACTCTGCGTAGCTGTCCCAGATGACTTGGCGATGGTGATTCGGAAACACGCTGAATTTTTTCCAGACGACCTCCCGGCGGGTTTGCTACCTGAGCGAGAACATGACCACAAAATTGAGCTGGAGCACGGCGCGCAGCCTACAGTTCGGACTCTATGGCAGCTGACTCAACCCGAGCTAAACGAAATTCGAAGCCAGCTGGACTACCTGCTCGAGAAAGGTTTTGTTCGTCCCAGCACATCCCCGTTTGCAGCTCCAATCCTGTTCACCCTGAAGAAAGATGGCAGTCTACGACTGTGTATTGATTACCGCGCCTTGAATTGGGTTACCATGAAGTCTCGCTATCCTATCCCGCGTGCCGACGAACTCATCGACCAGCTTCGCGGAGCCAAATTCTTCTCGAAAATTGACCTGCAAGGCGGTTACCACCAGATTCGCGTGAACGAAGCTGACTGCTAGAAGACGACGTTTCGGACCCGATACGGGAGTTATGAGTACACGGTTATGCCTTTTGGCTTAACAAACGCGCCTTCAACGTTCCAGTTAACCATGAACGAAGTATTTCGACCGCTGCTAGATAAATGTGTCATTGTGTACCTCGACTACATACTGGTCTACAGCACTACCTGGGAGCAGCATTTGAAGGATTTGGAAGCACTTTTCTCTCTCTTGGAGCAGCACCGCCTCATCACCAAGGGCTCTAAGTGCGAGTTTCTCAAACAAGAACTGGAGTTTTTGGGCCACGTCATTTCCATCGACGGCGTTAAAATCGACCCCAAATAAATCGCGATGATATCTGACTCGAAGCCGCCGGCTAATCTCGGTGAACTTCAAACTTTTATGGGGTTTGTGAATTACGTCCGCCGTTTCATTCCAAATATGGCGGGGGTGACTTCCCCTTTCACGGATCTCCTGAAGAAGGGCAAGCAGCAGCAGCAGGCTGCGTTCAAAAAGCACAAAATTTTTCTGACTACACCTCTGGTTCTTCGGACTGCAGATCCTCACCGTCCATTCGAACTCAACACCGATGCTAGCAATCTGGCCGTGGGCGCAGTACTGTTACAAGACTTCGGCGAAGGCCTCCAACCCATCGCCTACGAGTCACGAAAGCTGAACCCGGCTGAGCGAAATTATCCTGTCCACGACAAGAAGTTACTCACCATCGTTCACGCCTTCAAAGTCTGGCGCTCCTATCTGACGGGTGCTGACGTGACAGTCCGAACAGACCACAAATCGCTACAGTTCATCCGCGCCCAACCGACACACAACCCCCACAGATTCGCTGGCTCGATTATCTCGAGTCAAATTTCCACTACAGAGTTACCTACAAACGAGGGACCAGCAACATCGCTGACGCACTGACCCGTCCTTCAGTCCATACCGCCGCTGTCCTAATCACCCAAACGAATCCGCTGCTAACTGGACTATTTACCCACGGATACAGTACCGACCCATTCTTCATGACTAACAGTCATCCCCAACTGACAGTCAAGCAGGGGGCCTATTACATAAAATCCGGTACCAATCGGATTTGGGTTCCCGCTTACCGTACCTTACGCGAGCTACTGATACAAGAGGCACACGACTCGAATTTCTCGGGTCACTACGGCATCGACAAAACTGCCAAATTACTGAGCCGTAATTATTACTGGCCCGATTTGCCGACGGACGTGCAGCAGTACGTCACCTCCTGCGCCACGTGTCAACGCATAAAGTCGTCCCGGCTTCGACCTGCGGAATTGCTGTAGCCACTCGAGCCACCCAGCCGACCCTGGCAACAAGTGATGATGGATTTCGTCACTGGCCTGCCAGCTGGTCCAAGCGATAACAACGCGATTCTCGTCGTCGTTGACCGGTTGACCAAGATAGCCCACTTCGCCGCTTGCAAGACAACGATTACTGTCGAGCAGACAGCGAAACTGTTCCTCACGAACATTGTGCGGCTACACGGCATCCCTTCGGCAATCATCAGCGATCGTGATCCACGGTTCACGTCCATCTTCTGGACAAAAACCTGGCAGCAGTACGACACACGTCTGCATCTGTCCACGGCGTACCACCCGCAATCGGACGGCCAGACTGAGCGCACCGATTACACGATGGAGCAGCTGATTCGCACGACGTACACAGACCCGGCCCAATGGGAAGACTCCCTTCCCTTGGTCGAGTTTGCGTACAAAACCGCCCCATCCGGCACGACTACTCAGTCCCCGTTCTTCCTTTATTATGGGATAGATCTGACAACCCCTCTATCGCCCCCGATAGAAAATCCGGCACCAAGGTCTCAGCAGTTCGTCGAAAATCTCTGACATTCCCAGCAAAAGGTCGCCGATGCCATCTCAAAGCCAACTAGAGGGCTAAGCTAAAAGCTGACCGACGACGCCGCGACTTAACGCTCGCCCCTGAGCAATTGGTCCTGCTTGACACCAGAAATTTGGGAATTCCCCTCCCAAATAAATCACGACCAAGATTTTGTGGCCCATACCGTATCATTCGTATGGTGACACCAGTCACCGCCCAGCTGCAACTGACGGTCGACTGGCGAATTCATGATTCAGTCCACGTCAGTCTCCTGCGACGGTTCGTCCCGAGTACGACTAATCTCGACCGTCAACACATAAATCCTACGGTCAACCCAGTACCCGAGTCGACGATCGAGCAATCCAAGTTTCGCGCTCATCGCGTACGAGGCCATCGGGATACATCAGCCGTTGATTTCCTTGTACGATGGGTCGATCGCACGGCTGGCGACGATCTTTGGGTCCCCGCAGCTATGCTCGGCGAACACAAAGTGGCCCGGGACTATCTACACAGACGACGTGTCCCGGATGTGGATAGTCTTATCCCAGAAGTGGGTGTGGTGTAAGGAAATTCCCTTTTCCTTACTAGGCTCAACTACAGCGCGTACGCCATCGAATCTCGGAAGTCTAGGCTCGGCCAACTTCTTCGGTCCCAAATCATTTCGCGAATCCAAACCTAGACGCGCAGCGCTTCCATGGTGGCGTGCTGGCGCAGTCGCGCACGTTCATGGACCTGCTGTGCGACGAGTTCGACGCACGTCTATTGGAGCACTTTGCCCTAGCGCAGATCGCGAGGGTGGACATGGAGGGGGAGGGCAACATGACGCCCATTGGGAAGCCCGACATGTACATGTCGGTACGTGTGTGCGCTGCTGGCAAGGCTGTAAAGGGCGAGGCCGTGGTTATGGTTGGCAAAGCTTCTAACCGGATCGCCCCGACATGTTCGCGTGGTTCTCGGCTAGCTATGTTCGTGCCTATAAATGCATAGGCCCTCATTTGTATCGACAATCTGGAATCACGACTCCTTTATTACACTACCTGTTATTACTCTGATTAATTCATAACAGTTGTACCGTTGTATCGCCTTTTTATGCGTCGTGAAAAGCTTAGCCAAAACTTAGAACTGCTAAAAAAAAAGAATAGTTTTGTAGAATATTGAGCTTGTCTTGTTCCGCTGAACTGGTTGGTGGTCATGATGCGGCGCACGCACACGACCGACACGGATTCGTCTGTCATGTCATCATGACATGACCCGCCAAGAATCCTTGGTGTCTCTGAAAAGCGTCGCACGGGGAGCTTCTCAAAGGGAAGTGACGTACTGTGCGAACGGATAAGAGAATCTCTCAGGTCGTGTCATGTCGCGATGGAGTCGCACGCACGACAAAGTGCGAGCGAGACCAAGGGGACGTGATATTTCTCGCCACGTGACCCTGCCCATTCGGAAGTTCCCTCCGTTCATGAACGGTTCAGTACCACATCTTCCGCGTGAGCTGGCTGCCTCACCGCACGTCCCGCGAACCTCGGAAAATCACCCAGCGTCCCAGGATGCGCCACGCCACCTGAAAGATTTTTTCAGCCAATGGGAAGTGAAGGAATCTTTTGTACTGGGAGAGCATCTTGGTTCACTTCACTGTGCGGCTCTAGCTTGCCCCTTCAGGCATAACGCGGCTCCATTTATGACGAGTGTTCGAGGCCATTCGCGGGATATCGCGTGCCGCAAGGAGCACCACAAACGGATTTCGTGTGCGTCGACGACTTCTGTCAGCTGCCCAAGTTACATGACGGTGCAAGCGGGCACACAACGAGGTACTGTAGCAGTTCCGTCCACCAATCAGAAATTCCCAGCAGCCCTTTTCGCACCAAGTTCCGCTCGTGTTTGTCGTTCTCCGCCCATTCTTCCTGCCCGGTGCCACCTGCAGCCGCCATCCCAATCTGCCCCGCTTTCGCTAATCTGCCCTTGCCCGTCTCCTCATCCCCTGTCCTTGAAAATTGCCCAGAGCACTGCTCTGCTCTCCCCAGAATTCGCCCTGGAGCTGCGTTACAGCTAAGCCTGAACCCCTGAAATTCATCACTGACAACTGAGTGGTCTACTTTTGAATTGCTTCTTTCCGTGCTTCAGCGGAAGGCTCTGCTGCTCCCGCCATAGCCAGTCATGGCAGCTGCGTCGTTCTCTCACATCTTGTAGTGCAGCAGACTGGTTCTTGGTTTCCGTCTCCTGGGATTTTGCAGCAGCTGCTTCTTCCCCCTGATCCTCCCTCCGTACGAAATCGCTGTCAGCTTGAAACGCCTCTTTTCAGAATGGATAACACTCGCACCCTCCTCCTGCGGCGTCAGTCAACCCCTACCGCTCTGCTCCGCACCAACTCTTTTACCCCTTCCCCGAATAAGCACCAGTCCCAGCATCATCGGTCACTGGCGAATCCGCAGCGGAGCCAGCGCCTTACGCCGGCCGTCGCTCCGCTTCAGCGAACGCTGTCTTCCCCCGTACCCGACGCCATGTCTGCCTCATCCTGCGGTTTCTTCTCCGGAGTTTCCGGATCCACTCGGCAGCTCGCACCCGCTCCAGTTTCGCGGTCGGAACGCTGGGGGCCTGGCAAGAGCAAGGCGAGTTTCAACAGCAGGCACTGCCACTTGAGAGTAAATCCGTTTCTCGCGGGGAATTGGCCGAGCGTTCTGCCGTCAATCAAGCGATCCTCTTCTTCCGCATCTAAGTTCGCATCAACCACAGCAGTTGCAGCCAGTGCTTCGTCGTCAAACCAGGGCCCTGACTCATATGAGTCGTCGGCGCACGCGCATGGTACGGAGCTTATTGATCGGGACCGTGCCGTAACGCCGTCCTCTACCGCGATAGAATCGTTTCGTCCCGCTTCTCCGGCCGTGACTCCTCCTCGCACTGAAGCCGTCGCAAGGCTGCCGTCGCCCAAGGTGGATCGTCGCACGCTCCTCGGCCTCGGCCTTGCGACGCTCGCTGCGACGGGAGCCGCGGAGCTAGGACTAGTCGAAGCCGCCCTAGCCAAGACCCAGGAGCCTCTTAAGAAGCAGCCGATGTGGTTCTTAGGCGACGCGGCAGGGGGCGTGGACGGGGAGGGAGGGCTACTGGGGAAGAGCGGTCCGGGAGCGAGTAAGACGCGGGTGTACGACGCTACAACGGTTGGCGAGCCGGCTCTTGTCGGGGACAAGGCGAAGGCGTGGGAGAAGCTGCTTGCTGCGAAAGTGGTCTATCTGGGCGAGGCGGAGGTGGTCCGCGATCCCACTGATAAGGTGAGCAGCTCGTGACGTGCTCTAGTGCGGATCTGGTAGACGAGCTCTAGAAGGCACTACTCAGCTGCCTAGCTCTTCTCCTTTCGTTATCGTTTCCCGTCGGCGCGTTTCTTATTAAGCCTTTATCTCGCGAACCTTTTAGATGCATCTAAGCCTCTGCATCTAAGAGATGCAGTGATGGGTGTCCGTTTCCCCCATGACTCTCATCCGTTTTCCTCCGCCTTCCCTTTCTTCCCGCATCCCTATTTCCCCCGCTGTTACCACGTAACCAGCCTTCGAGCGAGTCGCTCCAGCACCACCATGATCCCCCCCCCCGCCCCTCCCTCTCTTCGTGATCTGATTTGATTTGATGTGACTCGCGCCGCAGGTCGTGGCTCTCGAGATCCTGCGCACGTTGCGCGATGAGTCCTTCGCCGCTGGTCGCCCGGTCACTCTCGCGCTCTCCGCTTTCCCGCGCTCCATGCAGCCGCTGCTCGACAAGTTCATTGCCGGAAGGTAAGGGAGTGTCAGTATTCGAGTTTTTTTTTTTTTTTTTTTTTTTTTTTTTTTTGTGGGTCCGTGTTAGTTTCTTCTCCTTCTTCTTGTGAGTTGAATTTTTGTTCGAGGCCCCCGAAAGTCATTCCCGCGCTCCATGCAGCCGCCGCTCGACAAGTCTATCGGCGGAAGGTGAGTGGTAAGCCCCTATTTACGCCATCGCGCACAGTCACCCGCTATGGAATCTGGTAGGGATTCTTTTCGTCTTCGCTCCATCCGTCATCCCTTTCCTTCGCTCCCCCCCCACTCGCTCCCCCGTTCGGCAGACTTCCAGAGGATGAGCTCCACGTGGCAGTCAACTACTGGCCCAAGGGCCGCCTGCAGGAGATGTTACCCCTCCTTCGCTATTGTCGCGAAGCAGGAGTTCGCCTGTTCGCGTGCGGCGTGCCTCCCAAGGTGCTTCGCACTGTGCAGGCCGGCGGCGTTCAGGCGCTTTCCCCATCAGACCGCAAAAAGTACGCGCCGCCGCTCGGAGGCGGCTCGGCCTCGGCCGCCCTCGTCCGACCCGACAGCGCCACCTCTGCCGTCCCGTCCTACGGACCGTCTAGTACCAGCAGCGCGTTTGGCGCCGCCGCGAGCGGGATCAGTAGCCTCAGCGGCGGGAATGGTGGGCTGCTGGGGATTGAACCGATCGCGAACGCCGCCGAACCTCTGGGCTCCCGAGCCTCCTCCGCCACCCGAGCCTCGTTTCCGTTCGGACCCGGTCCGTACTGGTTCGCGCAGGCTCGGGTGGTGGAGGATCACGCCATGGCGGGCGCGATTAGCCAAGCGATGTCGGAAGGCGGGAAGACCGGGTTGCTCGTCGTTCTCACCGGCGCGTCGCACGTGCGATTCGGAACGAATGGCCGCGGCGTGCCGTCGCGCGTCGCCGACTGGCTGCGTGCGACGCCGTCGTCGCAAGCCGTCGTGCTGCTGAATCCCGAGCGGCAGCGTGCGCGGTTGGAGTCCGACTTTCCCGAGGCGGATTTTTTCTGGTACTCGGGCAGCTGGGCGTGCACGCGCAACTGCTTCGACCGCGCGGAGATCGCGCGCGTGATGGGCGCGGCGGGGCGGACCCCCGACGCGCTTCCGCGCGATCTGCAGGTGGGAATCGAGCGCGGGCTGATCTCGCCCGACACTCTTCAATCCTTCTTCGAGCTCGAAACCAACCCGCTAGTAGCAGAAGCGACGAAGCGGTTCCAGGGATTGCGCGAGCGGTTCTACGCGGATCCGCGGTTCCTGCAGCGGTTGTGCACGGAAGAGGCGATTAGCATCGCCACGTCACTTGCCGCCCAGTTTCAGAAGCGCGGGGACAGGTTCTGGTCCGAGCTGGAATACGTTTCCGCGGATATTCTCCGCGGCACGGTGGTGAATTTCTTTTCCGTCTGGCTGCCCGCGCCTCGGCTCTCGTTCCGCGACGCCGCCGGTCCGGCCGCGCAGGCGGCGGCGGGAGCCGCCGGGGCGGCCGCGGCGGGCCCGGCGGAGAAACTTTTGGGCGGGCTGACCGCGTGGATGTCCACTCTGCCCCACAATGCGTTCCAGATGGCCGGCCCTGGGCAGAATTTCGGGATCGCGGAGCGGTTGGGAACGGTTGTGGTGGCGGGAACGAAGCTTTTTTCGGTCGGATTTGTTTCCAGCGTGGCGACGCTGACGCTGACGAACTTCTTGGCGGACATGAAGAACAAGCTGCCTGCGGACAGCACCGCAAATAGCTCCGCGAGCAGCACCGCGAACGGCACCGCTAGCAGCGCTGACCACGCGGCTCTCGGACTAGTTTCCACACCCCTGGCTGCGGAAACGGCAGCGGCAGGAGCGGCGGGAGGGGCGGCGGCTGGTTCGGGGACAGCAGCAGCAGCGACAGGAGCAGGAGCAGGAGGAGCGGGGAATACCGGTGGCTCTATAGTTCCTCGATCGCCCGTGTTCAAGACTGCGCTGGTGTACGGCGCGTTCCTGTCCACGTCAGCGAATCTGCGGTACCAAGCTATTGCGGGGATCGTGGAGCATTGGATCGCGGACTACTACCTTGCGTCCAACCCCGTTGCCGGGACGGCGGTTTCGTTCCTTGCGCGTACAGCAAACTCCTACTGGGGCACCTCGGTACGTCCCCTTGTCCTCGGTACCTCCCCCAGTTCCTCCCCCGCTCCCCACTCGTGCCCCCCTTCCCCCCCCCCCCCCCCCCCCCCCGACCTCGCCCCGCGCTCCCAGTGGGGCACCTCGGAACGTCCCCTTTCCTCCGCTTCCCCCCTGTCCCCCCCAATCCCCCCCCCCCCGTTCCCCCCTCTTCCCCCCCCTCGTTCCACTGTGGTAGCCGAAGTCTCACCATGTTCTTTACGCTTCCCTCCCCTCCCCCTCCCCTCGCCTACCCTTCCCTTCCCCCTTCCCCCTTCCCTACCTCCCCACCTCCAGCAATGGGTGGACCTCGCTCGATTCACCGGTCTGCAGCAGTCCCCAAAACCGGCAGCAGAAGCACAGCCAGCAGCAGCAGCAGCAGCAGCACTACCAGCAGGAACCATGGCGGATGGTGCCGCGCTAGCAGGCGCGGAGGCATCAGCGGGTGTGGGCGCTGACGCCGCGATGTCCATGGCCAGCCACTTCACCCCCACGCATTCCCCTAGCCAGCCCGAGCTTGTCTCTCAGCCATTTCGTGTCCCCGCCTTAGCCGGTGCTTTTGGTACAGTAACGGAAGGCTCCTTTGCCGCTTCTTCTAACGGAGCTGTCTCTAACGAGCTTACTTTTGCTTCTCAAATGGCTACTGCTGATTCGTGTCCAGCGTCTGGTGCTCTTGCTACCGCCGCTGCTGCTGCTGATGTCATTGCACCTTCTGTCGAAGCTGCTTTCCTTGCTGCAGAGGCAGTGTCAGCAGCATCAGCGGCAACATCAGCAGGTGTAGAGGATTTCGCATCAGGTGCAGCAGATGTAGCGGCTTTGCCATCATCAGCAGCAGCAGATGTAGCAGAGTTGGGGTCAGGTGCAGCGGATGTAGCGGCTTCGGCACCAGTAGCAGCAGATGTAGCAGCAGTTGTGGAGTTTGGATCCGAGGCTGTAGCAGCAGCGCAAGCAGGCGCTCGTCTTGTTCCGGTGGAGGTGTTATCTGACAGAGACGTTCTCAACTACCATCAGCAGCAGCAGCAGCAGCAGCACAATTAGCACCACTACCACCACTAGTACCACAGCAGCACCACCAGTATTACCAGCACTACCAGCACTACCAGCACTACCAGCACTACCGGCACCACCAGCACTACCATTACTACCAGCGTCACCAGCGCCACCAGCGCCACCAGCGCCACCAGCGCCACGAGCACCACCAGCACCACCAGCACCACAGCACAGCAGTGGTTGCGGACATACCACCTGAGCGTGAAGCAGCAGCAACAGCAACAGCACAATCAGCACCTGTAGGGGCCATGGGCGTGAGAGCTGAAGCAGAAGACACAGCACCGCACAGCACAGCACAGTAGTGGCTGCGAATCTACCACCTGAGTGTCCAGTGGCAGTGCAGGTTGGAGTTCGTCTTGTTCCAGTGGAGGTGATATCTGACCGAGACGTTCTCAACTACCATCAGCAGCACCAGCAGCAGCATTTGTAGTAGTGAACAGCAGTAGCAGATGCAGCAGTGATTGCAGAGTTGGGATGTGATGCTGTAGCAGGAGTGCAATCAGGAGCCTGTCTCGATCTGGTGGAGGTGCTATCTGACAGCAGCAGCACAACCAGCACATGTAGGAGTGCCGATAGAAATATTACAGGGAACTGGAAGCTGCGTAACTGCTGGTATTTTGTTATTACCCACCCATACCCACTGCTCCTGCTGATCTCCTTGTTGGTCCCCTTGGCTCCTCAGTGCTTGGAGCCCGGAGGAGCAAGCCTTTTTCTGTTCTGCGTCCCCTAGCTGCTCCCCCTCAGCAGCCTAGGGTTGCAACAGCCCTGTTCTGTGTCCCTGCTGCTCCTAGAGATGAGCCCTGTCTTCCCCCTCAATGCTCTTCTAGGCCTGGAGCAACCCTCTTTCTGTTCCCTCGGCTCCTCATCAGCAGCATAGGGTTGTAGAAGCAACCCTTGGTGCTACAGTTTTCTTGAGGAGCAGGAGTTGTTTCAGCGATGGCCGCTACTTCTGTCAGACAGCCCAGTTTTGGGGTTGTGGCGTCTGGTTTAGAGGCCGTTCCGAAGTGCTTTGAGTCGACCTGACTCAAAAGCAACGGTTGTATGGGTTAGAAAAGGTTCGAAAGAGAGGTTCTTCTGATGAGATGACTGCAGGTTCAGTGAAGGATGTAGAAGCTGGCCTTCTACTGAAGAGCTGAAAATTGATTACGTACCATTACAATATATATTCCATCTGTCTATTAGGTCTTGCAGTGGTTCTGGTTTCAGCTTCATCTCATGTGGGCGCTACTGGACAAGCTAGCCCGAGATGGCCGACTAGCGCCTGTCTCATGGCAGTACGATTATGAGGGCAGTGTCTGTTTTGCCTCATCCATTTCAGTGGAGTACTGCTAATAATTAATTAACTCTGGGTGGAACATGTAGCCAACACTGTTGACACTGACGGCGAATTCCTACAAAGTAGGAACAGAATCAGAAACGCGAAAACCATTATTGAACCACCTTCCCGTTCTATTACGGAGGGATTTGAAACGAGGGCGGCCACTCAGCGTCGCAGGAGGAAGTTGATTGGCTGTCTACACAGATCCACTCGCAACTGCACAACGTGCAGCGTATCAGATTGAGAAATTGAATGATAGCTAGTGAGAGTGTACAGACAGATATACCTATGAATTGTACCCTCTAAGAGGCGACCCTATACAGTCTATACAAACATGACACATACACATGTTTGACACACCCCCTAGACTGCATAGGGGAACGTCCTAAACAAGCAGCTCAGGGCGGCACTACTAGTCCAACCTCTGAGACAAGGGTCTGAGAGACCAGTCAGAATGAGTACAGACAAGGCAAGAACAAGAGCAGGGCGGCACTACTAGTCCAGCCACTGGGAGAGGACACAAGTCCACTCTGAGAATACAGATAAAGGACAGTACAAAGTCAAGGTCCTAGCAAGTGAGAGGCTACAGGAACTAGACCAAGCTGTACACAGTGCCGCTGATGATCTTTAGGCGCAAGCGCCTTCGTAAAGATACCGTAATCCCCCGTATAAAACACCCGCCGGAATTAAGCTCCCCCGGGTAGCTTGAGCGGGTATGGGTGTTTAATTTAACTGGATTTAGTTACCACCCTACCCTTGGCCTTGAAAACATTTCACCACCCCCCCCGAGATGAAAAAACGTTTTTTTCTACGTTTTCCTGTATACAACTTCTTGAATTAGACGTTAGCAATACAACTAGAGTACACGTAGTTACTACTCAACAGAATTAACCATAGAACTGTCAACTTATACATATTATCTATGTAGAAGTTATAGGCTAGACTGAGGTATGCTTCTAGTGAGTACAACCAACTAGTATTTGTTCTAGGTTTCCACCCCTAGTAATCATTCGTTTCTACGTTAACATGGTATCACGCTTAGGTTAGGATCCCCCCGCCTACCGCTTCCGCCCGTCGCGCCTCCTAGGCCCCGTCGCGCCCCCTAGGCCCCGTCGCGCCCCCCCTGGGCCCCGTCGCGCTCGTTAGGCCCCGTCGCGCCCCCCCTGGGCCCCGTCGTGCCCGCTGGGCCCCGTCGCGCCTCCTAGGCCCCGCCGCGCTCCCCCTGGGCCCCGTCGCGCCCGCTGGGCCCCGTCGCGCCCCCTAGGCCCTAACGCGCCCCCGCTGGGCCCCGTTGCGCCTCCTAGGCCCCGTCGCGCCCCCCATGGGCCCCGTCGAGCCCGCTGAGCCCCGTCGTGCCTCCTAGGCATCGTCGCGCCTCCTAAGCCCCGTCGCGTCCCCCCCCCTCTGGGCCCCGTCGCGCCCGTTCGGCCCCGTCGCGCCCCTCCTAGGCCCTGTCGTGCCCGCTGGGCCCCGTCGCGCCTCCTAGGCCCCGTCGCGCCCCCTCTGGGCACCGTCGCGCCCGCTGGGCCCTGTCGCGCCTCCTAGGCCCCGTCGCACCCGCTGGACCCCTTCGCGCTTCCTAGGCCCCGTCGCGCCTGCTAGGCCCCGTCGCGCCCCCCCTGGGCCCCGTCGCGCCCGTTAGGCCCCGTCGCGGCCCCCCTGGGCCCCGTCGTGCCCGCTGGTCCCCGTCGCGCCTCCTCGGCCCCGTCGCGCCCCCCCTGGGCCCCGTCGTGCCCGCTGGGCCCCGTCGCGCCCCTTAGGCCTCGTCGCGCCCGCTGGCCCCTGTCGCGCCTGCTGTTAGCGCTCGCCTGCCTGGCCTCCTAGTGCCGCTCGGCCTCCTCCTAGTGCCGCCCGGCCCCTTCCTAGCGCCGCCCGGCCTCTCCTCAGCGCTGCCCGGCCCCTCCTCGTGCCCGACCGGCCCCAGCAGCACCAGCCTGGCCCCTCCCAGCACCAGCCCGGCCCCAGAGCACCTGCCCGCCTCCCCTGCTCGGCCTGCCGTGTCCTCTCGGGCCCTGTGTCTTCTGCTCGCCTGCGCTGGGACGCCTAGCTGCTGCCCTACTGGAGAGTGCTGCCGCCGTGTCCCCGCGCCGCTGTGCTCCTGTGCCGCTGAGGAGCTGTGCTGCTGTGCCGCTGTGTCGCTGAGGAGCTGTGCCGCTGACCCTGCACGATGGCTGACTTTGTGCTCCGCCTGGACGCTGAGGGCCACGCGGTTGACTTCGCCGCCTGGCTCTCCGATCTCCGCCGCCAGCTTACAGGTCAGCGCCAGGATGGCCACTCTCTGGTTGTCCATGCTGATGGCTTGCTCCCCCGTCCCCCTGCACCTACTCCCCTCCCTGCTGACCCCTCCTCTGATGACCGTGAGGCTTTCTCTACTGCTGCGCTGGCCTGTGCGGTCTGGGACTCACGCGATGCAGTAGCTCAGGTTGCTATTAGTCACGCCCTCCCTGTGTCTGAGCGCTCGCGTTTTGCTACTGTTGAAACGGCCAAAGCTTATTTAGACGCCGTTATTGCTCGCTATTCCACCCCTGCCTCCGCTTCTGCTGGCCGCTTGCTCTTTCCGATGCTGTTCCCAGACCTGGCTGCCTTCCCTACTGTCGCAGACTTTGCCACTCATTTGCGTGCCCTAGAGACTCGCTATCGCACTGCCAGCACTGCTGCCCAGCTCAACAGCAGCACCCCCAGAACCAACACCCCCAGAGCGAGAACCCCCTCCAACACCAGCGGCACCCCCAGAAGCCGCAAGACGAACACCCTCCTCCACACCAGCACCCCCAGGGGCCGAGAGCAGCGGCGGCAGTGGCGGCAACGGCTGCGGCGGCGGCGACAGCGGCGACGGCTGCGGCAGCGACAGCGGCGGCGGCGGCGACGACAGCGGCGACGGCTGCGGCGGCGACGGCGACGGCGGCGGCAGCGGGGTCGGCGACTGCGACAGTGGGGGCGGAGGCACCGGGGAAGGGGGACGCTGCAAGGACGGACCGGGGGTACCACCAGAGTCAGCAGACTCCTCAACGGGGACAACCGACGGGAGGGGAGTGACGTGGGAGACACCAGACGGGGCAGGACGAGGCGGGAGAGGGGCAGGGGCTACCGGGGGAGAGGGAGCAAGGAAAAGGGGGGGGGCAACTGGGAGACCTCGGTGAGGGAAGCGGCGGTAGAAGGAGACGGACTCGTCAAAGGTGACGTCACGAGAGTGGAGGAAGCGGTGAGACGGCGGGTGGTAGAAAAGCCAGTCAGACGAGTCCAGGGGGAAACCGAGGAAGACCCAGGGGTTGCTGAGCGCCGCATCGGCTTGGTCATGGAGGTCGCCCGTACCTCCATGATCCATGCCGATGCCCCCCATTTTCTGTGGCCGTTCGCTGTTCGCTACGCGGCTCACCAGCTTAACCTGTGGCCACGCTCCCAGCGGCCGCAGGTTTCGCCGACCCTCCTTTGGACCGGGTCCCCCGGTGACGCGTCTGCGTTCCACGTCTGGGGCTGCCTTGCTCACGTTCGTGCCTCTGGCACGGACAAGCTCACTGCCCGCACTGTCCCCTGTGTCTTCCTCGGTTTCCCCCTGGACTCGTCTGACTGGCTTTTCTACCACCCGCCGTCTCACCGCTTCCTCCACTCTCGTGACGTCACCTTTGATGAGTCCGTCTCCTTCTACCGCCGCTTCCCTCACCGAGGTCTCCCAGTTGCCCCCCCCCTTTTCCTTGCTCCCTCTCCCCCGGTAGCCCCTGCCCCTCTCCCGCCTCGTCCTGCCCCGTCTGGTGTCTCCCACGTCACTCCCCTCCCGTCGGTTGTCCCCGTTGAGGAGTCTGCTGACTCTGGTGGTACCCCCGGTCCGTCCTTGCCGCGTCCCCCTTCCCCGGTGCCTCCGCCCCCACTATCGCAGTCGCCGACCCCGCTGCCGCCGCCGTCGCCGTCGCCGCCGCAGCCGTCGCCGCTGTCGTCGCCGCCGCCGCCGCTGTCGCTGCCGCAGCCGTCGCCGCTGTCGCCGCCGCCGCAGCCGTTGCCGCCACTGCCGCCGCTGCTCTCGGCCCCTGGGGGTGCTGGTGTGGAGGAGGGTGTTCGTCCTGCGGCTTCTGGGGGTGCCGCTGGTGTTGGAGGGGGTTCTCGCTCTGGGGGTGTTGGTTCTGGGGGTGCTGCTGTTGAGTGTTCTGCCGACGGTCGTTCTGCCTCTGCTGGTCCGAGAGTTCCGGCCCAGCCGTCGTCGCCGCCGCAGCAGCCGTCGCCGCCGGTTTCCGCTCTCCGCCTGCTCGGCCTTCCCTCCCCGGACCGCGCGCCGGTGTCTCCCCCACCGCCTCCTGACCTCCCTGTCTACGGTCCTGTGTTCCCGCCGCCAGACTCGTCTCCGGCCCGTCTTCCTCCTCGTTCCCCTCCTGTGTCTCCTCCGCTGTCCCCTGACCCTACCCCTCCGTCTCACGTTTGGGCTCGCCGTCCCTCCCGTGCTCGTCCCGTCTCTCCTGTCCTGCCCACCCACCCTATGTTGCTCCGTTCCCACTCGTCTCGTCCTCCCCTCCTCCCGTCCCCTCCTCCCTCGTCCCTTGCTGTTGCACCTCCTCCGTTCTCTGACTACCTCCGTGCTGCTCGTCCCCTTGTCCCTCGGGTCCTTGCCTCTCTTGTTACCGACCCTGCTGTTCCTGTCTCGCGCCTTGACGCGCTTGTCGCTGCTGTCGCTGACTTCGCCTCTACCCGCCGCCTTGACTACGCTACCGCTCTGGTCTCTGACCCTGCCCGTCCTCTGTCCGTCGGGGGTGCTCCTGCCCTTGGCAGTGACGTCCTAGAGGACAGGCAGTACGAGCTGGCTTTCCTTTCCGAGGCTGCTCCCCATCTCTGCTCCATGCTGTTAGTCCCTGAGGGTGACCCAGACGCCTTCGACATCCCGACCCCTCGCACCTACGCTGAGGCCACCTCGGGACCTTGGGCCTCTCAGTGGATAGCTGCC